GAACTAGTTGCTTTTGGAGAGAGACTAGGGGATTGGAAGCCTGAGGTCAGAGAAAGGCTTCTATTTGCTTGCACACACTACGTACTGCTTGAAATTTTGTCTTTTGTGGTTTGATTTTGGTCAAGAGTATTTTACTTTTTTTTTCTTTTTTGCTGAGGAAGATTCACCCTGAGCTAACATCTGTGCCAATCTTCCTCTATTTTGTACGTGGGTGGCCACCACAGCATGGCTTCCAAGGAATGGTGTAGGTCCACACCAGGGAACCAAACCCAGGCCACCAAAGCAGAGCATGCTGAACCTAACCACTAGGCCACGGGCCAGCCCCAAGTGTATATTACTTCTTTAACTAAAGAGTTAATTCAAAGGAAGGAGAGAAATAATATGAGACCAGCAAAAAGCTCCAGCCAAATGACGTTGTCCTCCGTTTCCCTATCCCAGATAGATTTGGCCTGACTAGAGCAGATTATGGCAAGGAGGACAGGCGTGTGCGCGCACATGTGTGTTTGTGGTCTGTGTTCAAATTTCATAATTACTAAATCTAGTAAAAATTTAAAGTAAAAAATGTCCTGCTTTCTCCTCCATTTAGCACTGGATCATCTCTTCCTCAGCATTATTAATTCATGCAACAAATATTGCCTAAGAGCCTCTTAACTTCCCAGCACAATTTGATGCTGTGGGAAGTACCACGGAGGTGAGAAGAGCAATACCTCCCTTCACATTACATATTACAACAAAAGAAACAAGGAAAACTCAAATACAGGAGATTAATGATTACTTTGAGTCAATTCTGTTTCAAGTCCCTTAAAATCGCTTTTATTGGGATTTGCAGTACCACAGACAGCCAGCAGGGGGCACTAGAAACACATCTGTGCTGAGTCCCGCTCAGCTCCTTTCAGCCTCCGGCTTTGATGTTCCGTCTGAAGTTCTCTCAAAACGGGAGGCCCTCAGCAAGAAGCATGTGCAGTCTTGCATAGTTAAGTCATTGACTAGGTCTCATAAAATGTCTCCTTTGATTCCCCACGTGGACGTAAATTTTTAAGTTTTGGGGGGTTTTTTAGAAAAGGGAAAAAAATCTATTTATAAATTAACATAGATTATATATCCAATGGGTTATTTGTGGGATATTCTTTTTAGTTTTTGTGAGCTGTCCTCTAGAAATGGCCTACACCTTTCTCCCCATCGACCTGTGGTACTTCTTCTGTGACAGCATTTGTCTCTCTGATATGTTCTGATGTGTCCCCCTCACCATAAAGCCTTGTTCCAGGTTATGTCATTGCAATGCACCGACTTTTTTTTTATTCTCTCTCTTTTTTTAAATTATCTTTTATTTCTCTCCTTAACTTTATTTAGACGTATCTTTTAATGCTGATATTAAAATACAACTTTATTTCTCTCTGTTTTTTGTTTTCTTTTGTTTTAGGAAGGGGGAGGGGATGAATATCCCCAACTCAAGGAAATTAAAATCCTTGAAATGTGTCTAGATTATTTAACACCACACTTTTGGCATTTGAAACAATTCTTTCCACACCCCACACTTCCTTCACCCCCAAGCAAAGAAAATAACCCTGGTCCCTTTACTCACACCTGGTGGAGGAAGGAGATAGTAGCAAATTGGCTCAATATAATATTTATTTGTACTTCAATTTTTTCAAAAGACAACACTCAACTTGCCATGGAGAACTACATTCTGTCTAAATTTAATCTTCCCTTGAATTGTTGCTCAGAATTTCTTCAGCATAGCTTTGTTGGGTAATGAATAAAAGACCAGCATCTCCAATTGTCAACTGCCTGGTAGGACAGCTCCAGGCCCAGGCCCGAGATCCTAGGGCTTTGACCTCAGCTTCATCCTCACTCTCACTGTTACATCACCATCTCTGTTCAGATGCAGCTTGTGCTCCTCCCTGTCTACATATTATGCTGGCATATGGGTGGGTAGTGGTGACTTTTATAGCAATTTTTAGTAAACACCTTGGTTTTGTTTTGTTCTTATTAAAAGTCAATAGATTTTTAAATAGTTTTTATATTTATGATTTTGTATTTGTAAATTTTATTTGTATTAGCCATGCTTTTTTCTACATTAAATATGATTTTTGCGACAGAAACCAGATCCACTTCAGTACTGAGGCTCTTTTAGAGCCCACTTAGACATTTCATCCTATTTTAATTTGGAAAAAAAGCCACAAAACTAAAATGTGCACTAAACTACGCATATATAAAAAACATCTGCTTCTCAGTCTTTTCTGGTTTGCAATTACAGTAACATTAAAATATAATATATCAAATACAGTTTCCATCTTTCTTGGGATCACCAAAGGAAAAAATACGTTATGATATGTGGCTACTGTTATTTAATCTTCCTTGAGTTTCACCTTCCCTCGCCTGTACAACGGTAACATTATTAAGTTTGTGGTGTTTTTGCAAGGATTAAATGCAGAAAGAGTTGAAACATTCCCAGTGTTTGCAAATAGCAGGCTTTCATTCAAACTGACAGATACATAGATGGAACTTGCCTACATGAAGAGTTCTGGAGTCTCTGGTCTTCTCTTTAGGTGTACCCATTTAACTTTGTACTTACATCATACTAGACCTATACCAGGAGCAAGTGTCCTGCCATAAGAGTACTGGTTTGTTAAAGGTTTATAAAAAGTTTAGCTGTTTTTAACCGGAAGCTTCCTAAGACTGTTACAAAGGTCATGCCAATTATGGAAAAAGACAAGCCTCCAACTATCAGGGATCAAATAACCTTGCTGAAGTTTGGACGAGGCATTTTGCTAACGCACATGCAGCGCGGACTCGGAGAGCGTGTGAGTCTCTGCGGGAGACTCCGAGAGCAGCCAATCAGGAGAGCGCATTGCCGCCACACCCACCCGCTCATTTATCCCGGGGATTGGAGTCAACGTGTCTGCTTTTCTATCAGGCTAAGCTGCTAGGAGTTAGTCTCTGCAACTCTAATGAGCATGCAGTGTAACAGTACCACTACAAAACTGGTTTCAAATTACAAAAAAAAAAAGAATTATTCTTTTGATTGCTCTGGTTTTGTTATATGATAACCTGGGAAATCATTAAACATAGGTTATACACATCAAACGTCCCGTTAGCAATTATGTAAAATCTTCTTGCAGTTCTCTGAAAGGCAGAGAAGTGCACATTGGTTCGGTTGTCTTAGCAAATGATATTTATGTGTAAAAATAGGCTGCATAAACATTCTATGTAAGATAGTAGGAACTTTTTGCACTTTCGTTTGTCGTCTATGCTTTGAGGCCATGCGATGCAACTGTACTCATCTTGTGTCATTTTTTAAAATTAGAATTTACTATATAATTTTCAGAGGACTGTCACATCATAGTTGTTCATCCCTCTGCATGGTCTGTTCTACCACTTCTAAAGTTTTTCTGAAGGGGTTAATTCTTGGCAGGTTTTAAAATTCCTCTACATGCTATGTAAGATAGAATGAATGTGCACAATGTATTGTTTAATAATTGCAATACAAGACAATATATTGTGTTGTAGCATTTAATGCACCAACTTAAAGACAGAACTCTATTCTACAGAATAACAAACTTTGAATTATTTGGGTATTATCAGGTGTATTTCATTTTTGAGAAAAACTTACAATGTGAGCCTAGTTTAAATTGTATGGCCTTTCAACCTTCTAATAGACAAATGTAGATTGTGTGTGTGTCTGAGAGAGAGAGGGGAGAGTGGAAGGACGCATTAAAGATATTCAGACACAGTCCAATATACACAGTGAGTTAGAGATTTTGACTTATGAGCCCATTTTCAGATGTAAATTGGAGAGTATAGAGTTAATTGACTTTTCTGGCTAATGTAAATCCTTTACATTTAAAAAGATATTTGAGGGGCTGGCGTAGCAGTTAAGTTTGGGAGCTCCACTTCGGGGTCCTGGGGTTCGCCCATTGGGAACCTGGGCGCAGACTTACACACCACTTACCAAGCCATGCTGAGGCAGGCATCCCACATATAAAGTAGAGGAAGATGGTCACAGATGTTAACTCAGGACCATTCTTCCTCAGCAAAAAGAGGAGGACTGGCAGCAGATGTTACCTCAGGGCTGATCTTCCTCAAAATAAACTAATTAAAAAATAAAATAAAATAAAGAGATGTTTTGCGGTCAGCCCCATGGCTGAGTGATTAAGTTTGCCCGCTCTGCTTCAGCAGCCCAGGGTTTCACTGGTTCAGGTCCTGGATGCGGACATGGCACCGTTCATCCAGCCATGCTAAGGCTACGTCCCACACAGCACAACCAGAGGCACTCGCAACTAGAATATACAACTAAGTACCGGAGGGCTTTGGGGAGAAGAAGAAAAAATAAAAATAAATAAATATTTGAAAACATTCTGAGCATTTTGGCAAAAACAAATACATATCCAAGGTGATTTCATTCTTTTTATTCTTCTATTTGCCTACCTCAATATATCTTTTGTAGTAGCGTTATTAAGATATAATTTACACACCATAAAGTTCACCTGTTTAAGGTGTACAAGTCCATGTAGGTTAGTGTATTTACCCGCTTGTACAACCATCACCATAATGTCATTTTAGAACATTTTCATCACCATCCCCCCATAACTCCTCTGCTCTCCTCCCTCCCCTGGTCTCTAGCTCTAGGGAACCACTAATCTACCTTCTGTCTCTGACATTTGCCTATTTGTGGATATTTTATATAAATGGAGTCATACAATATGTCTTTTATGACTGGCTTCTTTCACTTAGCATAGCAATATAGTTTTAGACTATTTGACCTCGATATTCTGCCTCTGAGGATAAAATGCTATCCTTAATTTCCTTGATGAGTTTTAGGATTAGGTATAATTTGCACGAGGCAAAAATTAGGACCTAGTTCGAGCAAGAGGGCTTTGCTCCACACATGCTAATCCATCTGCCCTTGTTCCACACCAGATTGTGCAAGCACAAGCTGAACGACTGTGTGTGTCCCAGGATCCTTAAAGAGACATCGTCTGCGAGAATTTGGGGGAAAAATAACACTGCAAGTTACAAACAGGATCCGTCAAAAGAGGAATGGGTTTAACTATTGACCAAATGTAGTTTAACAGCTTAACTTACCCTCCTTGGAAAACTGGTGATTGCAGCGTATTTAACAGAAATCCATATAAACCTGTGTTTGGTGCTTGTGCCAGGGGCCTCGCAGAGCCAGACCCCTTAAGAAAAGTAAATAGGAACCTCACAGAGAAAGCCAGCTTTCCCTTCTGCCCTTTCCCCCTCTTCTCGCTGGCACAGTTAATCCGAATTATAGTTTGCTCAAATATTTGGAAGTGAATTTAGGGCCCTCCCCCCCAACTTATGATTTTATAGCCAATAGGTGATGAGGTTTATTTGCATATTTCCAGTCACATAAGCAGCCGTGCAGTGGAAACAGTGTCAGACTCAGTTCCTCCTCCTCCTCCTCCTCCTCCTTCTCCTCCTCTAGGGAAGCCTGCCATTTCCAGCCACTCTGCCCTCCCCTCTGAAGAGCCACTTGCCCCACGCCAGACTGCGGCTCCAGCCCGCTCCTGCCTCGGGCTCAGCCGGTCTATCAGTCCATCGACGCTCCCGCCGGTGCCGGGTAGCCCCTAGAGGGACGCGCCCCGCGATGGAGAGCAAAGCACTGCTCCTGGTGGGTCTGGGCTTGTGGCTCCAGAGTCTGGCCGCCGCCGACAGTAAGTTTTGCGCGCAGACTCCGCTCCATCTGCAGATTCTGCTCAGTGGCCAGTTCCACCGGTTGTGAAGACGGGAAGGAGGAAGTCGGTAGGGGTTGCGGATGCGCATCGGGGACTCTCCTAGCCCGAGCGCCAGCCCCGAGGAGGGTCACAGGGGTGGGATTCTGGCGGGGCAGGGAGGGAATTCTCCCTCCGATCTTGCTGGGGCGGCAGCCGGTTCCCGCTGTGTCTCTCTGGGGTTCCCACGCTGTGCTCTCCACTCTAGCTGAGGCAGAGTTCCCGGGCTGGACGAGGGAGGTGGGAGGGAGGTCTCAGTTGGCTGTGACCGGCATTAACCTCCCCATTCGGAAGAGGCGGAGGTAAGGCTGGAATGAAAGGCACGCGGGGCAAGGTGACCCTGGCGCGGCTGCGGCCGCGGCTCGGCCCCCGCCTGTGGGAGCGCTGGCGGAAAGTGGCTCCTTCTCCTGGCGAAGCCGGGCTGGGGCGGGGAGAAAGCGTTGTCTACGTCTGAGAAGGGCAGGACACACTCGGTCGCCGCGTCAAAGTAGGGGCGGGGGGCGGGGGAGGACGAGGGCGCGTGGCGCGGAGTCCTGGGGACGCAGTGTCCTTCACGCGCTCGGGCGCCGGAGAAGCTCGCCAAGCTTCCACTCTTGCACGCTCAGCTTTACTTCGCGCCCAAGAAACCTAGCGAAGGCTTGACCCTCCTGAAAACGTGGCGCAGCGACCAGCAGTCTGCGGTCGCTGACTTGGGGTTTGCCAGGTTTACACTTGGCCGCCCTCGCCGCCCTGTGGGTAGATCCGCGTCCCGGCCGCCCAGCCCCGCGAGCGGTCGTCAGCACGTGGGCCCGGGCGCGGGGAGGCTGCGGCTGAACCCCTGTCACCGCCGGGCGCCACCGGCTCGCCAGGGTTCATGCCTTCAAGACCAGAGTGAACTTCTTTCTTGCAAGGAAGACAAACGCCCAGCCTGAGACTTGCCCACAGTAGAGGCCTCCTGCGTACTGTGAACCTTGGTTCAGTCAACACACAGCAGCAACTAAAAAGGCGACTGAAGCAAGTGATAAAAGAGGCAGCATCCTCCTTTCTCTTCCGTGGCGGCGTTGTGCTTAGGGCCGAGTCGCCCGTGTGCTTTCAGCGGCGCGGCCGCAGTGGCTCTAGTCGTGGTCGCGCTTGTCCATGACTTTGTTTTATTTCAGTACTGACTTGTGAAAGAACGTTTTTGTTCGGTTAAAAAAAATGTAGATTCCGTCAAAGCTGAATTGGATAAAAAGACAACAATCTTTTCTCTCAGATCAGTTTGAGAACAGTGGAGGTTCAATTAGAAAGTCTTCAACGCCTCATGTGGTGGCATGGTCCCCTCGACAGTGTGCAACACTGTCCAAGAAGGTGCTGGAAACAGCTCCAAATTCTTATTTCAGAAAGTACACCCTAGTACAATGTTACTTTTCCCATAAAATATACGCGAGTGTGTTTCATCCATGGTTTAAGTTTTTGTTAGGCTCCCTTAGAGGTTCACCACCCTCAATTCCTGGGCTGGTCAGTGTCACCTCTCTGGGTTTAGCTGCCTTAACTCTAAATGAGGAGTTTGGACCAAACTCCAAGTTCTCTGAGGCCTCTCCAATTCTTACTCTTTGATTTAAATGGACACTTAAGTGATCAATGAATTAAATTGGATTAATTAATGAATTAAATTGGATTTTAAACTTTTCCTCGTTGTAAGTGTATGCAGGGAGGAATCATTTTTAAGTAGACTTGAAATTAATCCCTCTCAGCCTTCCTTCTCACTCTCGCTTCAGCCCTCCCTCTTGGCAGGCCTCACTGTCACTGTGACTTTCTGCCCCCTTTCTCCTCCAAATGAATTCCTCCAGGAATGTAAGAACTTAAGAGCAGAAAGGCAAGAGAGTGAGGAAATGGCAAGCAGCACCTCCTCTGGGCTCTGACTTATTCATTCTCGATTTCTTTCTAAGAAGAACAACGGAGAGAAGGCACTGCCCTCAGGCTCCTTGTTCTTGGAGCCACCACGTCTCCGCATGGCCTCATCAGGAAACTGGAAGAGCCAGCAGAGGAGCCGGAGTCAGTGTTCAGGAGCCGCGGTTCTATTTGACTGGCCGCGGTGACTCTCAGCGCGAACATCTGAGTTATACGTGCTGAGTGATGAGGGCAAAGTAACGATACCACTTGTGAATGGAGCAGAGCTTAGCAAGAGAATGATTGGTTGACAGCTATATTGAAAGGTGGGAGTCAGGCACTGGCGAAGAGTTACAATGGAAAATTTTCACTTTCTTTCAGGCAGTGTATTTTTAGCTCGGACCTTTTTCGCTTTATTCTGATAGGAGAAATTGGGCTATATAATCTGCTGCTTCTATTTTTAGAAACATTTTTTTCTGTAAAAATGAAAAGTAAAACTGTTAGGTAAGTCGAGAACGTTGTCTAAATTGGAATATCTGAAAGGACCAATCAATTCAGTCATATAGCAATATTCAGCTTGTTTTCTGGCATTCTGCAAAAGCTACCTGAGCCAATACCTATGACCATCAGTCTCAGAGAGGAGATGAATTACTGATGAAGTCTCTTAGGAGTGTGTGAGAGAGAGGGAAAGAGAGAGAAGGAGGGAGGGAGGGAGAGAGAGGAAAAGAGGAAGAGAGGAAGTAGAAACTTCAAAGAGAATTGTGTTCTTATAAAGCTCTTGTACCTCATGTCTTCATAGAAATGTTAATCTTATTCATCAGATAACTGTCAACTACCTTTAGGCTGTATTTCCTGGGATGCTCAGTGCTTCTCCTTTTCTAGCTACAATTATGAACCCTTTATAAATTTACTTTTAAAGTGCTTTGACTTCACAACCGAATTTCATTTCTGTGAGTTATTATTCACATTAAGATAAATTCCTTGTCTTCCTTTACACACTTTAGATTTTTAGCTATCTATTTAGGAATAAAGATTATGTAGTTGAAAAATCCATTAACTTGTAACTTGCCTGGTGCCCCAAAATTTTGCCTTAGTGTTTAATAAGGACATGTCCAATGGGGCCAGGTTGGCATGGTGGTCCTGATACGATAAGCCAAATTCAAGGTAAAGGTCTTTATGAAGGAATATACCTTGGGCACTTTTTTTCATTATTATAAGGTGCCTTCAATTTCTAATGGGACCTGGTAAAAGGTCCATATCTCCTTAAAAGGGTAAGTGCAGAGTCACTAACAATCAACTCAAATGAGTTCACCTGCCAATTAGTAGCAATCTCAGTGTATATTGGGGCAGATAAACATACTGACAGACCCACACTCAGGGTCTGTCTTTCTCCCCTTCTCTGCACGGCTAAGTCACTTGTGTGAGGGCTGGTAGAGGTTTGGAAAGCACGTTCATCTTTAGGATGCTGAGACATCCTTGAGGGTTGCAAACACCAGTAGTGTGAAAATTCCTATCAGAACACCAAAGAGAAGGAAAGACTGTGCGCCAATGACACGTGTGATGTAAGGTGTAGAATTGACACAGAATTGAAAACATCACATAGCATATAGAGGGGTAATGTTGTGCTCTCAAAGCCTTCATTATGCTTTCTGTAACGTAAAACGAAAAATAATTTTCTTGGAAAGTGAAATAAAAGTCTCCACGTACAAATTTGCTTGAGAATGTATGAATTTTCTATTATTTTTCTTTATAATCCATGCACCCAACAGAAAATGTCAGTCATGGGGAATTGGAGCTCTCCGTGGGCCATAGAGATAATCTGATACAGGATCTATGGACTGAATAAATTTCGTGTGTGTGTATAAATATACAAACCAGCCTTAATAATTTCAAAGAATATTCTTAGTCATTTCAAAACCATCAGCAATGCCAGGGCCACCGTGTTGCATAATTCTAGGGAAAAATAGACTAAAAGTAAGTGGTATCCTTTGGAGCTGTGCAAGGCAGTAGTCAATTTGGCAAATAGGTCGTAGGCAAGATCTGCTGCCAGGCTGTTCAGATTATTTCTGCTTTAAAAAGATTGCTAATTGAACATATTAAAATAAGATTGCTGGAGAGGAGGCGTGAGTTCTTTGATGTGGAGAGATGTCAGAGGGGGTGGAACTAGTTTAGTTTTAAGTTTTCTAAAGCACTTGCTAATAAGAAAAGAATTTCTTGGGCATTGAAAGCAGTTATCGATTAAAAATCTGCAGTATTTTTTTCTAATGTCAGATAAATGATAAGGCCACCAGGCTGCTTTCTAGTTACGAGAGAAAAGGACGACCTACATCTCCAAGTGAGACGAGAGGCACAGCAGTGTTTTTGATGGAGGAATGGATTTCCAATGCAATTCTACTACATGGAAATAAAAAAAGCTTTAAATATTATAGTTAACCATAGTCTCTTAAATTATCTTAGAATATTTAAGCGCTAGAGATTTGTATGTGTGATCAATTTGCTGCATATAAGGAATCACTTAGCAAGTAACCACTATATTGTTTAAGGAATTTTGGAAAATAATTAAAAAGGAAAATGTTGGTCGGTTCTCAGGTAACTAAATGTCAGCCTTGTTCACCTGCATTCTCATTGTACTGTATCCTTCTTATTTTTAATTTTGACCTGACTTTTGCAATGTTATTTGAGATTACAGATTTTCAACTTTTGAGTTAATTAATTTCTTGTCAAGTAAAAAAGGCTAAAAGACCTATCTATTCACCTCAGAACGTAATAACTTGTAGATTTTAGATTTTGCTATTTAAAACTTTCAGAAGACAGGGGCCGGCCCCATGGCTGAGTGGTTAAGTTCGCGTGCTTCCAACTTTTCACGTTGCTGATGTTTTTAAAAAATTACTCTAGTGAAAAAGAAACAAGCTTCCCTCAAACAAGCCTTGTTGCGTCATATGGTGGGAAAACATTTCTTCATCAGAGGCTTACACAGGGTGAAAAGATCTATGAAATAAGGGGATTTATACAATGTAAGGGCCACGAGCCAATGTTCTCAAGGAGAATGAGCTTTGAACTGGAACCAAGAAACCTGGGCTCTGGTCCCTACTCTCTCTGCCACTATTAGCAGCTTAACATTGGTCAACTCGCTAAAATTCATGTCTTTTTTTCCTCTCCGAAGCCCCAGCACATAGTTGTGCATCCTAGTTGTAAGTCCTTCTGGTTATATGTGGGACGCCACCATGGCATGGCTTGATGAGCAGTGTGTAGGTCCATACCCAGGATCTGAACCAGCAACCCCTGGGCCACTAAAGCAGAGCTTGCAAACTTAACCTCCATGCCACCAGGCCAGTCCCTAAATTCATGTCTTGAGAGAAGATTAAATTAACTAGGGAATTCCCAAATAGTGAATTTACTTGAAATTGTGTATATACCCCCCGTCCCCACCCCCCACACACACCCCTTGACTGGAAAACACAGGAGAGATTACTATTGCTTAACTCTCAGTTATTTTAAAGTCATCTCTGTCAACTTTGATCACCACTGGAGGATCAGTCATTCTCTTGTAATCCACATTCACTTTTAAAAAAATTTTAGAAATAAAAATAGCATGGATGATGATTGCTTGTGAACCAGAAACATACCATTCGAGCAAATAAAAAAATTCTCCAGTTAACCTCCTACCAATTTTTCTTTTTCAGAAATTATAGGAGGAAGAGATTTTAGAGACATCGAAAGTAAATTCGCTCTGAGGACCCCTAAAGACACAGCTGAGGACACTTGCCACCTCATTCCTGGAGTGACAGAATCTGTGGCTAACTGTCACTTCAACCAAAGCAGCAAAACCTTTGTGGTGATCCACGGCTGGACGGTAAGAGAGGCTCTTGAGGCAGGAGCACATTGGGACGGACCTGGCATTCCGACCCCTTGCCCTCGTTGTTGGGCCCCCAGTGATGGGTCTCCTCAATGGCTTTGCTTTAAACTTGAGTAAAGGCAAGTCTGGCTCAGGATGGGAATTTGGAATCTAAAGTCACAGGTTCATGAGTACTTCTCCCAGACAGTGCCGACCTTCATTTCACACCATGGTACCTGGCCGTGCCTTTGAACCAGCCGTCCCCGTGAGGGGGAAAACAAGGCTCTGCTCAACGACAGAGCAGAATGCAAGTGATCATTTTGGGGAACTGGCAGAAACCTGGCATGATCCTGATGCATCTAGCACATCGCCGGAGTTCCTTTTCTAAGGAAGACATCCTGTAGGAGTGAGGAGACGGCTGGAGTGCAGGGAGGAGGTGCTGGTTCTGGTTCTGGCTGTGCTACCCTCCAGTTCTGTGATCTGGAATCAAGCCACTTGTCTCTGGGCCTCAGTTTATTGATCTGTGAAACAGAGAGGGTAGAGTAGACACCCCTCCACTTCCAACAATCTCCGTTTGTGAACTTGAAGAAACTTCTAGAGACGAAAGAGGGCTAGGCAGGGAACTGTCATGCAAGATGGTTAGACAAGGTGAAAACTGTGGTTAAATTTACTTTTAAAGAATATGAATAAAGTAGTTCTCTCTAACTATGCTGGATAGTCTCTTTACATGGTGCAGTTCTTACTTAACTCCTTTAGTTGATTTTTAATATTTTCAATTCCTAATAAAATTTCATTGTTTATTAAAAAAGATTTATAGAAAATGGATGGTTAAAGAGATATTATCTTTCCATTATGTCAGAGCTTATGAATATGGTAATAGATACTAAATTCTAATGAAATGCATTAGCTAATGATCGATTTACTTCTAGCCCCGATTTATTTTCCTACATAACTTAAGTGCCTTTGTTATTGACAAATAAAACAATTGCTATAACTTTTATGGAGATGAAGGTAACTACTAACAGAATTCACATGGATGTTTATTGTAATAAGATATGGGTATTTACTAAAGTTAACATAGTAAACTACATATCTTACGATAAAATCACATATTCAAATTCCATACGTAAATCTTTTCATGTTTTAAGAAGTTTAAATAGGAAAAAATAAACTTTGGTGGTTTTAGAGATAATTCGGTTGTATATGGAACTTGGCTTTTAATGCTTTTCACAAAGTTTAAGCTTAATAAACATTTATACGACAGGAGGAAATTGAGTATCTCAGGCATTGCAATGTTGTCCCTGAGAGAATTTATATTTTAGGAACTTTTGAAAAATGTGTTTTCTTCTCATACTAAGATGACACGACTGACCCAATGTCTGAAGATAGTCCAATTTCTATCATTGATCCTGCTGCCCACTAAGCCCACTTGTCGTCTTCACACCACGTGTCCTGGCATTTTGAGTGCCAAGGCTCAGAGGCTAGGCTGCTGGCTATCAGGCTGAGTTTCCTCGTACAGAGCTGGTTGGTCTAACTAATAGTAGTTATTATATTAACATATAACTAATATTGCATATCAGTTATAACTAATCCGATCCCACTGGATATCCAGTCACACTGGAAACTGAGCTCAGCTCATCTCAGTGCAGGTGGCAAGGAGGGCTTCCGTTCAGCTGCTTGTCTGAGAATCAGAGATTCATAAAATTGTCACAAATTTAAGGAACCTCAGAAGAAAAACCTAGTGAATAATATCTTTTCAGTATTGAAGAAGGTAGGTACTTGGACTTTCAACTCTTTTGTTTGGGATTGCTTATTTTCTGTTGAATTAAAAAAGAAAGGATTAGGTTAGTTGTTAAGTAGTTAATAAAAGCATCTGTCATTGTAGTAGTAAGTTGGGTTATTTGCCCTTTGACAGATTGCCTAACTTGGAAACATTGATAGTACAGAAGTATTTATAACAGGGGCTTGGGGCAAACGAGATTTTCCTGCTCATCTGAGGTAAGCTGCTCAGCGACTCACAGGCATAGGACTAATGGAAGTGAGGAGGTTCTGCAGATTTGTCATGAGAAGCCCAAAAGAATGTTTAGCGTATGTGCGCATAGGGCACAACCCAGAAGGCAGCTTAGACTCAGCTGTTCTGGAGCTCTGCCACCTGCTTGGGTTTCACAGACCAGAGCTTTTAAGCACAGGGTTCTCATTGTGACATAAGAGGTCCTCACCCCTGGCTAAAAGGAGGAGTGGCTGACATGGCGTTCTGAAGAAATGACATCATCCTCTCTTGAATGGCAGCTGCAAAAGGTGGCCAGCCCCCAATCTCCAAGAGAGGAGAAGGGGGACAGGACAATTCCTCAGGGTTTTGTGCTAGGTGTGTGCTCCAGGAGGTTGCCTCAAAGACCCAGGCTGCACCCAGACTTGAAGCAGCCTCTCTGAGACATGCTCAAAGAAGGTTTAAATAAGTTCCTAATGGACTAGCATCACCTTTGTACCTTTTCATCTTTGTTTTCTCTTCATGCTGGCATTTTATCATTGCAAGTAGACTGGGAACCAGAATGGTCTCAAGAAGAAATTTGTGAGGTGGAAGGTGACTTCCAGATCATCTGAATCCGAGCCGTTTGTTTTGTAGGTGGCCTGTAAGGTTCAAACAGTGCCTGTGTTCATAGAAGTTGCCAGTGGAAGAGCTGGAACTGGAACCAGGATCTTCTGAGTCCCAGGCTTGCTTTTTCCTACACGAAGCTCAGCAATGTGGTGACAAATTGGCAGTTTATTACTGTCAAGTATGAAGCAAGTGCTCGTGTTTTGGTAGTTTTAGTCTAGAAAACAGAGTAAACAAAACAGAAGCATAAATGAAAGAACCCATTAGATGAGATCAAAGTTCCAAATGAAGTCCCTAAGTTTGGGAATTCAAGACTCCTATTTTTTCTATTGGAATTACTCTAAGAAAAACATAGGTTTTACAGGTCTTCCCTTAAAATATGCCTTAAATATGGATTCCAGAATCTTCTTTGTTGATACATAGTCTAGTTATCTTTACTGTGGCTGCTGGCATATTAGGGGTGGCTAGATTTGGGGATTTAAATCAGGTTGTTGCTGTGTACAAGCTCACGGCAGAATGGTGTAGGATTTCATAATCTGCAATTTCTAATGTGTTTCAATTGTTTGAAAGTGTGCATCTTTGCAAAGGTGTCCACTGTCTTCCCTCTGAACACATAAATTAAAATTCTACTTAAATAGAATTAATTTAAGGACTCCCTAGTTCTTTTGACTTTGAATTTGGGGGCCTTTATTAACAAGAAGCAAAGAATTAGTTGGCAGTCTGCTTATTTCCAAACAGGACCAATCTAATAATTTGGAAATGTGACTGTTAAAGCTCATTAATTTCCACTCTGATAATTAAGAATTTGAGACAACTGTGAAAAAGTCTGGGCTAAAGCTGATTATTTTCTTATGTATTTAGAAAGAGCTTGTTAAACAAATTTATCTTCTGTTTGGATAGATTAGTATGTTTAAAACTGTTTTTTTTTTTTCATTAACACATCAACTGTTGTCTGTATATGGCTCTTTATATGGAAAAAAAGTGCATTATATCTCCCCAAATAATTCTATTGAGAAACATTTATTAGCCTAAATGAAAGTAATTAAACTAAATTTCTTTTAAAATAGTCTGTAATTCTGCTGCAAAATGTTAACTTATTCAGATTCATCTTTTTTTAATAGTATGAATTATTAAAGTTTTACTGAATTTATAAAATGTGCTTTTAACATTGAGAGCACGGTAAACCACAGTCTGCTGTTCCTGTCCCTTCTTTGGCAGACTCACATTGGCCTCGGAAGGGAAAGCACAAGCCTCTGAACACTCTTGTATGGTTTGATTTTTCTCTCTGAGCCAGTGGGTTTCCTTGTCGGTTGGTTTTTTTCCGTTTAATTTAGGTGCATTGGGCTGACGTTTCTATCACAAATTGTAGTGGGTATTGTAAGAAAGCTTGTATCGTCCTTCAGGTGACAGGAATGTATGAGAGTTGGGTGCCAAAACTTGTGGCTGCTCTGTACAAGAGGGAACCAGACTCCAATGTCATTGTGGTGGACTGGCTGTCACGGGCCCAGCAGCATTATCCAGTGTCTGCGGGGTACACCAAGCTGGTGGGAAAGGATGTGGCCCGGTTTATCAACTGGATGGCGGTAAGACTGGGGAAGAAGTGTTGTGTGTCCAAAACAGATCTCTCAGCTGGAGCTGGATAAATGACTGGTCTTTGTGCCGTTTCACTTAAATACAGATATTTTCTGGGGCAATTCAAATATTCAGAATGAACATGGCATTATTTTTAAGCCAAAAGCAGCATTATAAGAATGGTAAGACTATAAAGCTGAGGTGCAGTCCTGCCCTGCCCTCTTCTTTGATATTTCCATAGTGAACAGATTTGCTGAGACCGAGAACTAAGTGGACACATAGACGAAAGCTTGTTATTTTAGGGCAGAGGGAAGGTGGTATGTTGCCAACTAGTTAGCTGGCACGTGGAAATTTCATCCTGCTTTTGACTCTTTAGACTACTAATCTCTTTGATGAAAATATTAATAGTACTTATTCCTTAATGTGGATTAAGGACCCAGAGCTAGAAAGAAAACGGCAGAGCAAGTCCGCAGGATATGAGGTGGCTGAGGGTCGGGGGTCTGATTTTGCTGCTGGTTTTACCCAGTTTGGCTCTTTGAGGCCATCCTCTGAAAATCACCTTTGAAAAGTGTCTTGGGGTTAAAAGGAACCTGATACTCTAACAGGGCCTAATTATTTAAACCAGATGCTTGAAGGTAAAAAATAAGCGATGGTTTTTGGACTGGCCATTAAAAGATAAAAGTTCTTTTCTTGACTCTTTTGCTAACCAGGAGAGTGAATTTGGGCAAATCAGATCACCTCCCCGGCCTCAGGCTTCTCATTTGCCAAATGAGAGGACTGGACCATCTGCGTTTGTGGTCCCTTCCCCCTATAATATTTCTAATTTTAAGTCAACCTTAAAGAATAAAGTGATGCAGGGTATTTAGAGTAGGGAATAATGGGTTAAAGTTAAATATATATTTATATGTGTGTGTGTCTATATGTAGATACACACATATACATACATCTATATATATATATATATATACACACACACACACAGATACCTATGCATAAATACACATATTTTCAGATGTATGGAAATTCAGATGTACATACATTTCAATTTCAGATATATGGAAAAACTGTCTAATTTAAATATGTTGTTAAGGAAAAAATATCTCAACAGCGGAGTATATATTCCTCTTTTCTGTAGCACTTATAAATTAAGTAGAATTAATTTTCAGTATTGCCTATATTTTGAAAACAATATTTATATTCACTTTATTTATTTTAGCTTTGATCTTTTGCAAAGAACAGGAAGAACCTCTTTTTCTTTTTCTCTTCCAAAGGAGGAATTTAACTATCCTCTGGACAATGTCCATCTCTTGGGATACAGCCTTGGAGCCCATGCTGCTGGCATTGCGGGAAGTCTGACCACTAAGAAGGTCAACAGAATTACTGGTAAGAAAGCAGTGTCATTTGTCTTATCACAAAAGAGTGAGATGCCTGTCACTCTGAAAAGAGAATCAGAATGTTTGCCAAATACCCACATGAGTGTGGTGTTCTTCCGGGTATGCCTGGCCACTTGATTATCTCATGGGAGAGCTTTTTTCCTAGAGTAATAGACTATAGACCCTTGCTTTCATGGGCTTACCATCCACTGGCAGTAGAAGATAAGGAGTGGAGTTGAGCATGGAGAGTCCTGCAGAGTCTCTGAGAAGCTCAGTCGCCCCCCCCGCCCCAACATCCACTCCGTGTTCTGGTAGTGTGTTGCACGTGCGTGTGTCACCTCTCACATCAGTACTGGGAAAATGAAAAAGGACCGATATGAGAGGGCATTTGGAAAAAGGAGAACAGTCATCTGGCCAGTGGTAATAGACGGTTTGGCTTGTGCAGAGAGGAAGAAAGAACCCAACACTGTTTAAAGTCCTTCTCACCAGGTTCAGAAATAATTTACAAAAGGAAATCAAGTCATCCTGAGTGAAAATTGCCATTCAACAGCTAGTTTAAGATACTCAAATTCCATTTTAGAGGGGCTGGCCCCGTGGCCGAGTGGTTAAGTTCGCGCGCTCCGCAGCAGGCGGCCCAGTGTTTCGTTGGTTCGAATCCTGGGCGCGGACATGGCACTGCTCATCAGACCACGCTGAGGCAGCGTCCCACATGCCGCAACTAGAAGAACCCACAACGAAGAATACACAACTATGTACCGGGGGGCTTTGGGGAGAAAAAAAGGAAAAAATAAAAATCTTTAAAAAAAAAAAAAAAAAAATTCCATTTTAGAAAGAGCTGAGTCCACTTTTGTGGCTTTCAGTAATTTAAAGATCCAATCCCGATAGCATAGGGACTAGTAAGAATCTGTGTGGTTGCCAGCTACATTCATATGATGAGCAGTGGTGCTAAGGTGATACTGATGGAGACTGAAACTAATTGGCATTTAAAAATCTGTGAGGTTTGTTTTTTTCCCCATTAAGGTCTAGATCCAGCTGGCCCCAACTTTGAGTATGCAGAAGCTCCAAGTCGCCTTTCCCCTGATGATGCGGATTTTGTAGACGTCTTACACACATTCACCAGAGGATCACCTGGCCGAAGCATTGGGATCCAGAAACCAGTAGGGCATGTTGACATTTACCCTAATGGAGGCACTTTCCAACCAGGGTGTAACATTGGGGAGGCTATTCGTGTGATTGCAGCGAGAGGCCTTGGAGGTAACTATGACTTAGAAGATAATGAAACATGACTTCTGTTAACTCTCATTGCCTTAGTGTCCGACCCTTTCTTGTAAGAATATAGTTTTAATATACTCATTTAGCCAAGATATGTGTCTGAAGAAATCTGTCATATTCAGCCCGATCACCTTAGAGCTTTAGTACTCTGATGGGCAGACATACAGACATTTTATCTTTTATGTATTCTACTGTAGACTACACTGAGTACTGCACTTGTGGTAATAAAAGAAGATAAAGGTGAAATTTAGACAAGAAAACCCCACTGCCTTTGATAACAGCAGCATAGAATGTTATCTGGCCACGTGGTGTTATACTTTGAATACAGTTGTGAAACCAATAGAGTTATTTTGCATTTTACTCAAAATGAAGGGCATATTAATTAGTCCAAATTTCTTTTTTCAGTCTTTCCAAGAGATGTCCAAATCAGAAATGAATCACCATTCTCTAACAATAAATATTCCAAATTTTTAGAAGAAAATATAATTTAATATTAGCTTAATATTTGCTTTAATAATGGTATTAGTTTGTGTTAAATTTATGATTTGTTTTAAGGGACCTTTGCCTACTTTTTGGACCATGGACCTTCCTGTAGTCAAGATGCTCCGGCCTTTTGTGCGCACATTATAGAACTTACAGCATAATGTTAATATTTTCATTTGCTATAAAAGCTTATGGTAGTAGATACACTTTTATGGCATTGCTGACTATTTCTCTGATTTATTTAATGTAAAAATCATTAGTAGAGATACAGCTCTCAATTATATATAGTATCATTGATAAAATACTATGTTAGCAATATGTCCTTTATGATGTGGTTTCTAGAAGTATGTTTCCAGAAGCATATAGAAGTATTATATGCTTTCAATTTAAGAGAAGGATGTGATAAACTGGGGGAATCAACTTTTACCTTGGATGCCTCTTATTATAGCTTCATAAACATACTCACAAATATAAGATAGCAGAAAAGTCAAAAGTTCCCTATAAATTTGCAACTCTGAAGCTCTTGGAGGTAGGTGAGAAACTGCCACCGAGAATGCTTCCTTAAATAGGACCTAGAATCAAGGAGTCATAGGACCAAATCCTGAGGTCATTTTATTCTAACACCACACCTAAACTAGTTTAAACATGCAAGATGAAACACTCACTGTGAACTTTCACAGAGTTTAAATTTCCTTTGTGTCTCTTTCTCCCCAGATGTGGACCAACTAGTGAAGTGCTCCCACGAGCGCTCCATTCATCTCTTCATTGACTCTCTGTTGAATGAAGAAAATCCAAGTAAGGCTTACCGGTGTAATTCAAAGGAAGCCTTTGAGAAAGGGCTCTGCCTGAGCTGCAGAAAGAACCGTTGCAACAACTTGGGCTATGAGATCAATAAGGTCAGAGCCAAAAGAAGTAGCAAAATGTACCTGAAGACTCGTTCTCAGATGCCCTACAAAGGTAGGCTGGAGACTTGTTATAAGTAAGGAAAATCAATTTGATCTTATTTTCATCATGCTCGTTGCATCACATGTACTGATTCTGTCCATTGCAACAGGGATAGTGAAATGTTCTTACTTCACCATGAGTCCTCACTTGTGTTTCTGTTGATAGAAAGCAAGTTGCACTGAGCCATTTTTCTGAAGCTCTTAATTCCCATTGCTGTAAGGCCCAGTGCACAACCTGTGCTACCCTGTGCTACCCTGTGCAGCAGCCTTGCTTGCCACTCTCCCATGCAATTGTGACCATTAGCGTGGGCCAGCCCGTTAGTGCCATGCTCCATTTGAACCCATCCATCGGGGGTCAGCAAACTATGGTCCATGGGCCAAATCCAGCCGACTACCTGCTTTTGTAAATAAAGTTTTATTAGAATGCAGCCACACACATTCGTTTCTGCACTGACTGAGGCTGCTTTCATTCTACCACAGCAGAGTTGAGTAGTTGGGACAGAGATTGTATGGCCCACAAAACCTAAAATAGTTACCATGTGGCCCCTTGCCGGAAAAGTTTGCCAACTCCTAAAGTTTGCTTTAAGTGAAGGCAAGAACCACCTGTATTTTAAAGTACACCTATTCCTGGAAGGGGAGAATCTACCAAAACCTCTAAGATATTTCCACTTTGTCATGAATTTGTTCACAGTTGAATTTCAAACTTAGCAGCTTATTTAGAGTAAGACTTACAGGAATTGAGGGGGGCAAGAGAGGAGATAATCAGATGAATCTGGCATGAGCGACTAGTATCAGAAAGACTGGCTTATGTGTGAGTCCAGGTGGAAGTCCAAGGGAAGGGGTGACATTAAAGAACAGTTTCCTAATGTAAAATATCTCTGATAGAGACACCCGTTTGAAGGTGGTTTGTTAGAATTTGTAGAGGTGCATTTGGCGGCCCAGAGGTTTGGAGCACCAATAAGCCAAGGAAACCTTTTAAGCAAGGAGTACTCTGTTTGTGCTTTGTTTTCCCTGACTCTTCAGAACGAGGAAGTGTGTGTGAGGTACAGGGAAGACTGTAATCTGATGAAGATTTGGACCGGTCTCACTTGCCCCCAGGCGTCCTGCTAATGCCACTCAGTGACCCATCAGGGCTCTCTGGGGGCACTGTGCCAGTCCCGACTTCTTCTCCTCTGGTCTCTGGTGATGCCCGCAAGGGCTCCATTTAACCCCACACTCTTTCTCTTCACCTTGTAGTAGCTGTGTCTTAAGCCTGCTGCCTTTCCTATCCCTTTAACCCTTCCCCATCCTATCTCCTCAGGGTTTCTGGTAGAGTTGGCGAGAGCAGGGGAAATGTAGAAGTTCAAGTACCTGCTTCTGAGGCTCTACCTAATACAGAATAATTTAGGAGCTAGCAGTCTTTACAGCCTCACTGTCGATTCAGTGAAACAAGTTTTATTGTGAGCCTGATATACACCTTCTCTGTGCTAGATGGTGGGGGAATAAGGAGGATGAAATGATTCTCTGACCTGAAGGAGCTGACACACAAGATAGAGAGTCAGGCATCCCACAAAACATGAAGAAACATGGTCACATACAGTGACAGTAAAAAATACCAGATATCCTTGGTACAGATGGTAAGGAAGGGTGGAGTCCATGGAGAAAGTATCAAGAGTATGTTGGCCTCTTGGTTTACCTCCATAGTACCCCATCAAAGGTGACTACTTTCTAGGACTGCTTGGCAGTTCAGAAACACATGGACTCTTCCTATCCACTATGACCACACTTTTCTGAAAGGGAGTAGAATTCAAGGTCTGAATTTTCTGGTAGGAATCACTGTACAGACATGAAGAAATCTTTCCAAGCCACACTGATAGTGATGTGTGAGCACTTCCTACTGGATCACTAATGAGATACGGTCTATGGTTCTGAATTGCCTGCTTATTTGGGGGGCTGTGGTGTTTCCATAAAGACTGATCAGCTCTTGTTCCAATTTTCTCCCCCTATAGTCTTCCATTACCAAGTAAAGATACATTTTTCTGGGACTGAAAGTGATGTACACACCAACCAGGCCTTCGAGATCTCTCTATACGGCACTGTGGCCGAGAGTGAGAACATCCCTTTCACACTGTGAGTAGCCACACAACATCACTCCAGCAAGTGGGTTTGTCATGGCAGTGCTGCCAGCCTTAACCACTGGTGTGAGGAACACAGAAGAGTGGGACACCCAGAAAAAGAAATAAATATTCAACAGAGATTATTTTTTTTTCTTTTTATCTCTTTTTTTTTGAGGAAGATTAGCCCTGAGCTAACATCTGCTGCCAATCCTCCTCTTTTTTTTGTTGCTGAGGAAGACTGGCCCTGAGCTAACATCCATGCCCATCTTCCTCTGCTTTATATGTGGGATGCCTGCCACAGCATGGCTTGACAAGCAATGCGTAGGTCTGCACCCAGGATCCGAACCGGCGAACCCTGGGCCGGCAGAGCAGAACATGTGAATTTAACTGCTGCACCACCAGACCAGCCCCAACAGAGATTTTTTTTATGTCTAAAAAATAAGGACTTTTTGTTTTATTTATTTATTTTTATTGAGGTCATAATAGTTTACAACATTGCGAAGTTTGAGTTGTACATTATTATTTGTCAGTCGCCATATAAGTGTGCCCTTTCACCCTTTGTGCCCACCCCAACCCCCTTCCCCTGGTAACCACTGAACTGTTCTCTTTGTCCCTGTGTTTGTTTATCTTCCATGTATGAGTGAAATCATATGGTTTCAACAGAGATTTTTAGAAAACCTATATGGCAAAAGATGTTCATTACAGTGAACATCTTTATATACATAATACCATAATTTGTACATATAATGTATATATAATATATGTGTATATAATGTACGTATAACAGCATAAATTAGAAACCAAGTGTCCAACATTGAGGCAATGGTTGAGTGAATGGTGGTTTAACAAATCAATAAAATCAATCTAGCCTCTAAAAAGTATATTTATAGAAAACTAGGTAAAACACGGCCAAAAGCAGAAAATAAAATATGAAGTGAACAAAGAAAGGATAGAGAATTGTCTGTTCACTATGATTGTAACAAAGTAAACATATGTTCACATATCAATGCAAATTAAAAGAGAATATATGAAAATGAAAATGATGTCTCTGAATGGTCAGCTTATGGATTTTTTTTCTCTTAAGAATTATCTTAAATAGTTTGCATTGTTAGGATAAAAATTGGAATAGATTAAAGGGGTGTAGATGTCTTTTAAAATACACTAAATGCATTGACATTCATCGTGAGTATTTTGTTAGACATATTTTGCATTTTTAAAATATCTCCCAAACAATAAAGCTATTTACATCTTGGAAGGAAGAAAAAGGGAAAAAACCTGGTTTCCAGAACTAATCAAATATGTTTATTTTTTATTCAGCCCTGAAGTTTCCATAAATAAGACATACTCCTTCCTGATTTACACGGAGGTGGATATTGGAGAACTGCTAATGTTGAAACTCAAATGGAAGAGCGATTCATACTTCAGCTGGTCAAACTGGTGGAACAACCCTGGCTTTACTATTCAGAAGATCAGAGTAAAAGCAGGAGAGACTCAGAAAAAGTAATTAAATTTATTTTTCTCCATTCACTTTAAACTCACTCTAATGTCACTGCCTAGAGATAGTATTTCCGGAGTTTTCAACATTCAAGTAAGACTTTAGTAAGCTTTGTCTTGAAAGTATATCACCTAGATAATTACACCTATAATTTTAGGGGGAGTGGTCTTTTATTATCATACTAGGGAAGTAATAGTATTGGTGCATTTCATGGAAAGAAAACATAAGCCCTGACCTGGTCCCAGTTATTGAGTAAGAGCAGAGATGAGACGGCAAGGATCTCAGCCTGTCATTTAGCACCGTTTCTTTCAAGCACAAAACAGTTATGGAAAGAATTGTGGAGGTGTTACTTTAACACACAAAGATTAAAACCAACCTCTTCAAGAAGGATGAGATTCCAAGATAATCTCACCCTATCTCCCCACTCCACCCCCATATATCTATAAAATGAACTGCATAGAGAGCCCCATAGGATTTAAAACTTTTATACTAATCTCCTGGGGTTTTGCAAACTATAGTGTGCCGTTATTGTTAATGAAAATTGACTCTTTAAATTAGAATTATTAAATTATTTCTCTTTGGTCATTTTCTTTTATAACCAAAAAGGAAAAAAAAAGATAGGTTGTGGATGGAGAGGCTATGCAAAGCATCTGTTTCTCTAGCAGGGCTGCTGGAAGGCTGATTTGCAAATTCCCTGCTACAGATACTGAGAGGTGGTGAGGTCAGTCTTGTATCAGCTCTCTTGGAGAAAGCCTTGTAATGTCAAGGCTGTCTGTATGCCTGTCTAGATTGACTAATTATTGCTGAACACTGGGTTTGGCCCTCAGATAAGCCTCTGATTCAGATGTGTGGCTAACCAGAATGGCCTGAAGGTAAACAGTTAATTATTGGAAATATGAAAACAATCAGAGCAATCGTGTAGGATTTAAACAACCCTGGCGGAACCAGACCTTTCTCAACAGCCGTTTTAATTGCTCTGTGTGGCTGTCTCACCACCACTTTCTTCCACAGGGTGATCTTCTGCTCCAGGGAGAAGGTGTCTCATCTGCAGAAAGGAAAGGCCCCGGTGGTATTTGTGAAGTGCCATGACAAGTCTCTGAATAAGAAGTCCGGCTGGTGAGCGCCATGGCGAGGCTCTCAGGCATCCTGAGCACGCACGCAGAGGGGTCCTCTTCATGCAGTGCTCTTCACCCACAGCTAAAGGCCTGCACTGATTCTTGTCATCAGAACCTCACCTGGTCTCTCTTAGCCCTTCCGTATACACGTCAGGCTGGTCCCTTTGCTTTTGGCAGCATTTCCTCTTTTTACTTTTGCTTTCTGTTCTTTCTGCCAGCTCTGACCTTCATCCCACGTGCACTTTTTAGATTTTGTTTTTCTTCTGCAACTACCACAAAATCCTCACTTCTGCTTTTTTCCTGTGCTGAATCACTGCTACCTTGACAGATCCTGTGCGCAGAGTGTGCAGCACAAGTTAATAGTCATCATTGTGCCTGTGCGTGCAGCCCCTCCCGGGATGTGTCCAGGGGAGCAAAACGTCAGCTGCAGCTACACAGTCCTTCTTGATTCTCAAGTGCCGGCAGACTCCAGGACAGAGAGCCGAAGGGGCAGCCACCAGCATCCATCTCAAAACAGCTCCCTGGCTCTTTCCAGCTTGACCTTTAAGGCTAATCCACATGGCAGCTGTCAGCTGAATCTTTCCAGAGTGTCAGGACTAAGTGCAGACTAAGCATGTGACCTTCCCCGCCCCCTCCTGAATTCCCACAGTATGCCACTTTCATTCCTCCACTTATTGCCCTGCCAGATGCGAAGTGCTAATGGGTTACAAGTATAAAGGGGAAAGCTTAGACCATGTCATATAAGCCAGTGTCACAAGAAACAATGGGAAAGGCTGGTCACAATATCATCTGGAAATAGAAAAAGCAATTGACTTGATTTGTCTTTCCCCAGTTACATTTATAGACAAAAGCACAGAATAAGAATTGCCTAATCAGGAAAAGTATATTAAAGACCTTATATCTATTATTTTATCTTATATCTATTATTTTTAATTTCTGTTTTATAATGTAATTTATCCATGGAAAAATAGGTGAAAAGAAAATAAAATCATTGTGGCTCTATCCCCCAGGAACAGCCCCCAGTTAACATTTTAATTTTTATCCTTTCAGACTTTCTGTATGCATATATAATAGTTATATTTTTTACAAAATTGCAATTATGCCATATATACTTTGAGTGACAAGATGAAGCCATCTGGATTAATAACATTAATGTAAGAACACTCAAGATAAACTTAAAAGGGAAAATAGTTACTGGTATTGAGCCAGACAGAATAACTGAATTCTTACCTAAGTGGAAGCTGTTCTACTAAGAGGTTCATTGCTTCATTTTTTTCTCGTCACAAACCTAAGGCAATTTCACATTTGCTTTACCTCTTAGGAAGGAACTCCTGGAAAGTTTTATATGTGCATTTACATCACAAACATACACAAACACACATGTACACATACATTATCCAAAAATCACCCATAACTTTAAATCAATACGTGAATGGAAAAGCAAAACCTGAAACATTAGGAAATAACTGTAGCTGTTTACAAAGTGTTTCTGGTCATATTATTTACATAAGTTGCAAAACTTTATCTGAGAAAAGCCAATGATACATTAGTCGTCTGGCCATAAGATCACTGAGACAACAGATATTTAGGCAGCTTTTTTAATGCATCTGAACTTTATCTAGGAGATAATTATGAATCAAACCAGCAACTACTGCAGTTTCTTCTCTGTGACTAAATTCATCACTCAGATAAAAAGCTCTCTTTCTCTTATCTTCTGATATAACTGTTTAGAAGTCTCATACCACAAGAAAAGAAAAAGAAACAGGCATTTCATTAGATACATTTCAGAAGTAAGAACTCATCCTAAATTTTGAAATCATTTGGGTCAATCCTCTGAAAAGAATACCCCTTATTGCGACATAGCTAAATAGAGATGGGAGTGTCTTTCATTCCTACAAACTTGACATGTACTCTGATTCATTATCCATATCTCCCTTGGGTTTATTCTCACAACCTTTGTTCTGAACTTACAGTTGAATACTTTCTCATCATGAAGGTGGTGGGGGAGGGGAGAGGGTTGTAAAATGCTGAGTAGATAATAAATCTCTCTCTTCCTCTGCTTTTTCTCAGAAACTGCAAATCTTCAGAAGGAAGAACATCACATGAATTCTGTAAAGAAGGAAGTAACTTTTATAAAAGGTGCCCAGTGCTTTAGGTAGTTAAAAGTGGAGTTTCCTGAGTATTAATTCCAGCTATATCCTTATTAGTTATTTTAGAAGACAGTCTCAAATACTAAAAAGTGGCTAATTCAGTTTAAGGAACATAGTAGTCAAATAGCACATGTTCCAATATTAAAAGACAGTAGATATGAAAAGCACTGCATTTTGCTCTTTGAGAAAGAAATAAGAATTGTTTGGGCCCATGGTAAAATAATAAAACCTTTTAGTGTAGTGAGTTTAGCCATCGCCTAAAATTTAATAGAACCTCCTATTTTATTTGAAATTCTTCGTTTTCTGTACTGATACTTTCTCAAAGTTTTCTCCAAGTCTGAATATAGAAAATGATTTTTACGGCATGAGTCGAACCCATTTACTTACCAGTCAAAACACCTGACTACTTTGGAAACTTCTCCTCTTGCCGTTGGGAGGTAGCCCAGGTGGTTAGCTAGGGCCTAGTGCCGTGGAGGGAGGGATGGAGAAAGGCGCTCATAAAGCACTGAATCCTTAAACGCTCCCTGCGGTTGGTTACATCGTAACTAAGTTACAAACTAAAGGAGAAATAAAATTTAAATAATTGAGTCTTACTGGGCTTTACAGCTTATTGCTTCATCTCTCCCCTCCTTTTCCTGCTTTTCTCGATTGTATTTTAACAATGTTCTCTGGGTAGGTGTTTAAAATCAGCCTGTTATCCTCAGCTTACAGATAATTTTAACTATGGAGAAAGAAAATACCATAATTTTATTATCAGACTTTCAAAATTATATTTATCAATTTGAAGTCATTTAATATCTGATAATTACTATTTAATTTCAGGCCTGTCTTAGTCATTTGTTAGTCATACTTCGAGAATATCTCCTTCTTCCCTGGTTTTGATAAGAAAACGTGTTCAAGGTCAAATTTTGCATCAGGCAAACTCCTACAAATTTTAGACAAGGACCATTTTTATTAAGTAAAGAGATGGGAAAGTTGCTAGGCTGTATTCATAAACAGTGCTTAAAACCGTTGTGGGCAATTAAAAGACGCTTCAATTGTCATAGCGACATGAAATGCCATGAGAGTTGTTGCTTTTAACAACTAGTGAAGAGTGAGTCAACAATTATTTATAAACTAAGTCTCATATTTTCAGAATGTTTTTCTAGATATTAGTATAGAATGAGAAAGAAGTCAAATATCTCAGAGGCTATTGCTGGGAGTCACAAATGGGAATATGTGTGGGCATCTGAACACGTCCTCACATCTGAAGCCCAACGTGTATGTTCAGTGTTCAGCATGGCTTGGAAGGTAAATGATCAAGAGATGTACTGGAACATGTTGGAGGAGAAATTGTTCCAGAGCTGCCAGAACTTCAGCCCTTCATCTGAGAAATATTGTTGTGCCTGCACAAAGTAGGACAAATGTGATTGATGCCAGCTGGCTTGGAATGAATTTTCTCTAAAAATAAAATATTGTGTGATTTGTTGTTGGCATCCCCATTATTGCTAATTTCTTAATTTTCTGGATTTGAATTTTGAGCAATGGTGCATGAACCTAAGAAAATATGAATCAAATTGGGGTATGGCCCTGGGAACTCTGGCTTCTACAGACTTCAATATATGTATCAGCAATGCTTTGGCTTTAAATGTTATTTATTAGCTGTAAATATATATATGTGTACGTGTAAAAGGAGATTTTATGTATTGGAAAGGTTGTGGCTTTCTGCATTTATAGACATGTGGTGCTAACTTTGTACATGTCTTTGTTAGTGACAGTGTCACTTAGCCAACTTACCCTTAGGAAATAATGTAATAAAATGGGCTTTTTTAAAACAAAACTTACTTAACTATGTTAAGAAATGGAATCTGCTTTTAATGAAATGGACGAAATTTTATTACAACACTAAGTCATTATTTTGTATCATTTTAGTTCTCTAAAAAAGAAATCTATTCTTAGGGCAGATTCATTCAGAAAATTTTTATGGAGTAACCGCTCTTCTTAGTGAAAAAATATAGCTTCTAAAAGCTACAGTGAACATTATATTTTATGTTTTATATTTACATTTGTACAAAGCCTTAGAGAACCTTTGCACTAACTATAGAGGAAAATGATACAGAATTTTTCCTAAACAAAATACACCTGACTTTTCTTGCCTGCGGGATACTTTTTCATATGTAAAATGTTAGATTAATAAAAAAATGTCTTTGACCACTTTCTGGAATACATTGTCTCTATTTCTGAGGTCTAATTATTAGCTACAAAGTGAGTGGCATTTTTGCAATAAAATGAACTATTTGAGATGAGAGGGTGCCTTTTTTAGAACTTTGCTTTGGATTGTCTTGATAATGGAGAAGAACAACACACAGCCCATCTATGCAGTTAAGTAGGGGTTGCTCCATAGTACAGTCAGGAAGAATTGAGTTCAGAATACAATTGTTTCAGTGGCCACTGACCCAAACCTTCATTGTCAGGCATAGGGTCTTCTGGAGCTGGGGTCTCCCTGACAGGAAGAGGCTCCCCTGTTTACACTTTGCTCACTGCCTATCAATGCTTCTTGACGTAAACAAAAGACAGACATAACAGGAATTGGCAAGGATGTGGAGAAATGTGAACCTGCATACATTGCTGATGAGAATGTACAGTGGTGTATCCACTCTGGAAAAGAGTTTAGCAGTTTTTTGAAAAATTAATTATAGAGTTTAACCCATATGACCCAGTAATTCCACTATTAGGTATATACCCAAGAGAAATGAAAGCATATGTTCACAAAGATTTGACACAAATGTTCATCACAGCTCCAAAGTGGGGAAGCAATTCAAATCCCCATCAACTGGTGAAGAGAGAAACAAAATGTGGTCTGTCCACACCAAGGAGTAGCCATCAGAAATTAAAAGAACAGCCTGCTGATACATGCCACCACGCGGAGGCACCTCAAACGCCTCTTGCTACGTCAAAGGACTGGATGCAAAACATCACACATTGTTTGATTCCACTTATATGGAGTTTCCAGAAAAGGCAAATCTATAGAAACAAAAGGTAGATTTAGTGGTTGCCTGGGGATGGGAGTTGGAAGAATTATTGACTACAAATGGATATAAGGAATCTTTTGGAGATGACGGAATTTAGATTGTGGTGATGATTGTAATTTACTAAACTCTGTAATTTACTAAAAATCATTGAATTGTAACTTAAATAGGTGAACTTTATGGCATGTAAACTTTGCTTCAATAAAGGTCTTAAAAATGTATAATACATAGACCTATGGGGATGGACACAACCACACGGTGCATGTGTGACCTTGGAAAACTATATTTGGGGACACTCCCTCTTGCCCCTACAGGAGGAGCCTCTGCAGTGCTTATCCCTCATCCTCTAATACCAGCCTTGTGTATCCCGTGGGTCCAGTACATGCTAGTTTGTTATAAGTGAATGCTGTCATAACCTTGTTTTATTAGAAATGTCTTATTTTAGCCCTGATTCAGTTAGACTGCAGGCCCATTTGTGATGCATTTCTCTTACTGTAGAAATGCTATTATACAGATAATTGTACTCTGAAATGAATCTTACCAGGAATTTTCTATAATTAGAATACCATCAAACAACCATTTTTACAAGTATCTGTATTATTAGAAATCACTTAATATAACACCTTAATTTTTTAGTTGATATAAAGTCAAAGAGGTTAAGTGACTTGCCTGATGTTGTATTGCTAGTTATTAACACATGTGAAAGTAGAACTGATTCTGACTAATGAATAACTCAGTATATCCTCCTTCATTTACATCATCCTGTCTCCCAGATACATTATAAACTGTGTGCTTAATTATGAGTTTGCTTTATATACAAACATAGCACAATAAATTTACTATTAGCAGATACATGCCTGGGCCTTCTAATAAGATGAAATTTAGAATTACTCCCATCACACTCGCTTGTGACTAATGACACAGTACGTGTCTGGTAGTGAGGCCTCTCACTAGGTATACTCTGTACCATGGATACCAACTAGTTCATCACACCTCAGATACTTACTTTTTTGTCACAGCGTTCTAGACAGAGGAACCACATGTCTTCAGACCAAACATGTATACAGGACCATTGGAATAGTGTAGTAACCAGCCATCAAGTTGGCCCCAAATATCATTACCTCCTGCCACTCACATCCGTGGGTAGTCGCCTCCCACATTGATCTGTGTCACCAGGTAGAAGTAATAGTACATATCTTCCAAAATTAGGTTATATAAGAACTGCAGCTTCCATTTTGGTTGTTTTTTTGAGCCGTCTCTCCCTTGGGTCACTCACTCTGAGGGAAGACATGTTGTCAGCAACCCTATGGAGAGGCCCATACAGTGAAGGACTGACATCTCCCATCAGTAGCCAAAAGGTTAAGCTTGGAAGTGGATCCACCAGACCCAGTCAGGCTACAGAGACAGCAGCCCCAGCCAACAGCTTGAACGCACCCTCATGAGAGATGCAGCAAAACACTCCCAGATCCTTGACCCACAGAAACTGTGAAACGATAAATATTTATTGTGTTAAGCTGCTAAATTTGGGGGTAATTTGTTATGCAGCAATAGATAACTAATACACATAGTTTACCTGATAGATGAGCCTCTAATAATTTTGTTTGTTTGTTTGCTTTTTAATAAATTAAACATTTAGAAAACGATGTTTCAAAAGAACCCGGGGAGGTTACATTTGGAGGGAAGCCTCTTTTTTCCCCTCTAGACATTAGTAAGGCAAAAAATAATAGACAATCAGCTCTTTTGTTTCTACTTTTATTGTGTTTAATTTTTGTTTTCACAAAGTAATACATTTTTTCCTCATGATGCGGGGTCAGTGAGCCGAGGAGTCGAAAGAAAGATTTCTTAGACTCTTAAGATCTGGCAGTAGTGCTCTTTTATTTAGAGAATAGTATAGAATAGCATGAGGACAGGACCTATGAGCAGGCAGAGCTGCTGCCAGCATGTTGCTGCTGCTGCTGCTGGCACGGGGAGCTGCTGCTGCCAGCATGGGGACAGGACCCATGGGCAGTCAGGCTGCTGCGTGGGGACAGGACCCATGGGCAGTCAGAGTGCTGCATGGGGACAGGACCCGTGGGCAGGAGGAGCCGCTGCTGCTGCCGCTTCTGCTGCAAACCTGGGTGGAGAGTCAGGCTAAATTTGAGGCATAGGTATGTGAGTTATCTCTTTACAAGACAAAAAAAAGTTAAAATGGTACCAGTGCAGGTAGGGTCCAGCCATTGGGCGGTCCCACAACTTTTAGATAAGAATCAAACCGGATTGAGTAAATGGCAGAAGTCACCGCTTAAATATTATCTTCAGCTAAAGACAAAGGAGGATTTTGTTGGGGGGGGGGGGGTCAGTTACATGAGGTTGCCAGACAGTAAACAACTTAAGTTCTTGCCTTCCCCATTAAGAGTTTCCACAGATAAGTCCATCCCCCCTTCCTCCTGGCGCAGAGAGGGAGGCATGGAGATTTCCTTCACAAATGCAACTGTCTCTCATCAAAGGGTGAGCAAATTCCACTCCTCGGAGCCTGCTTCTCATCTGCAGTTTTAAAATTAACTAGCCTAAAATCCTCATCACTCATAATAGGATTATTTATAGTCATACTTATATCCAGTGATATTTGGGACTAAGAATAACCAACTAACTTACAAACTAAATGTTTTCCTTCCTTCCCACAGCATTGCCATCTAGAAAACTGGTTTCACACACAAAACCTCATGAAATTCCTGTGATTGAGAAATTCTTTGTGTTTTAAGTCAGCTATCTTCCCCCGGCCATATCAGTCTTTATCCAGTAGCATGACTGCAAGTCAGTGTGTGGTCTTCCTCCTATTATTACAGGCTTATAGTCAATTGTGTCACTACACCCTTCAATTTAGGGATATGCCAAGTCCTTGTCGAGATTGCTGCAAGTAAATCAAGGTGAAGAGACAAAAAAGTCAGTCAGCATTTGCTTCACAAATACTGACCACACTTATTGAATATCTCCTCGTGTTCCAGGTGCAATACTACCTGTGGCAAATATTCTGTCTCCCTTAGAGCCTGGTTGCCCCAGAAATATGGGACAATCAAGAAGAAAGCCAAGCTGGGCCTCAGGCTTTCAGCTATCCAGAAACCTGGAAGATTTGAGATGTAAAGGGAAAGAGTGACAAGAGATTAACACAAAACTGGTGCACTGGTAGCGTGCTTTCCTCATGTCCATGCGCTTGCTTGCATATGGCTCTCCACAGCTCTGACCACTTTGCCACTAAACAAATCACAGAATGTGCCCTGTTGCCAAGCATGGGAAAGACTGCAGACCCCTGTACCAATTTATAGACCAGGGATTTCCCTCCTGGGACTCAGAATAGCTTACTATTGGTTTGATTTCTGAGCCAACACTTTCTTCATTTAAAGTGTTATGGGTCGTATAGTTGTTTTCCTAGTTACCTTAAAGTGAAATAAATGCAGTTGTATAAAATCTGTAATGACCTCTTTAGATATTTAGAGACAGTTAGTTAGTTACTCTGTTTTAGACACAGCCTCTCTTTTGTTCATTAGGGAAAGACTTTTGGAAAACAGAATGATTATAACTGAATGACGCCATCCAATAAGGTACACTTATCAGCTACCTCTGGGATAAGCCAAGCCTGCAAACCTTATTAGCATTCCAATCACGCCCACTGAATTTCAGAAATGCAATTATCTGTACCTGATTGTTCTCATTTCCACTCTTGAAATCTCTCTTGGCTGCTTTGGAACCCTAATTCATTCTGGGGTAGGATACTGGAATTTGGTCAAGCATTGTAACACACCCCAAATCAAGGTCTTCTAATTGATTTTCTCAATCTTTACATCAGAGAATGTGTTGTAATAAGCCTTTAAATAGAAAATTTCCCTCCACAGATGCACTTAGGGATAAAAGTTATCTTCAGAAAGAGTCGTCTTTGGAACGGTTTTACTCACAGGAAGACCTGTGCTTGAAATGACTCAACCCAGCTATGTTTCCTGAAGCAAGGGATTCAGCAGAGGCCGGTGTTTTTGCTCAAATTCAGGCCTCTAGATTCCAGATTCCATGTGCTACCCCTCAGCGCTTGTGTGGGAGTCTGAGCACTGGTAGTGTGTGAGCAGCAGGGCGGGCTCTAGGCTTTTGTTTGCTGTGTGTGCAGCCAGCTCAGGGGTCCTGGAAGTGGCACCCAGGTGTATCAAAGTCATCTTTCTAAATTTAGAGC